ATTGTAAAAAAAAGAGTAAAGGTGGACGGGGAAGGGACTTAGTGCTAGTTTACCACAATCATTCCTAGGTGCCTACACCTCCAGACTTGGCAGCGAAGTATAAAAGCCATTGCCAGCAAGCTCTGCTGCGCTAACCATTGCCGTCTTCCTGGATGGGAACTCCAAGACAAGCAACGTCAATGGACAGAGGCACTGTCAGACATGTCCCAGTCGCGCCCTCAATGGCGCTCGTGCATCTTAACTATCGCCTTCAATGCATAGCTCCCTTCCCAATTCCCCAACCTTACAATCCACTGACAGTGCGGTATTTACGTACCAATCTATCAGCTCCCGCCTCCAATACGCAGCCGTCTACCCTACCTCCCCAAATAATCAGTGAACCAAACTGTATCAGCTACAACCACTGTACGACAAGTACGCGCTTCTTACAGCTCACCATGATGATAATTATGGGCAAGAGGTATAATAAGGCACAAAAATGCATTGGTGACGATAAGCTTCTGGCTGACCGGTGCTAAGCAGCTTCCGATTTTTGTATCATTGCTTCGTTGGCCAATCGTGTAAATAGAGATAGACGGAAACATGGGTTGGATTAAGTATGACATGAAGCGGTAACTCCAATAATGGTACAATTGGTTGATAAACCACATGTCAGTAACTCAGTTCCCTTTTCGATTTTGACCTCTGTGTGAACTTCTTGTACTACTGGGCTTTCGACCGATAGTATACGAATATATCAACCGCTTAAATCTGTGATGCTGCCAATTGATTTCTTACATTTTCCAAAATGGATGAAAACGCAGCCGATAAATTTTTTGGTTATTTTCTTGTAGGCAAAACGGAGATCCCTTTTATGTTGGGACTCATAACTTCGAAATCATCGCGCTTTGTTCTCCTATAATATTGGCCCAAATCCACCCATTTAGATGCACTGGAGTTTCGGCCAGTCGGTCTAATCAGACAAACAAAAGGAGCCGAATTTAAACAGAATTAGACTAATCGGAAACTGAATGCAATAGAACAAACAAAATTACGTATTTTCAACTAACAAAGCCAGTCAGCTCCAACATTTTCTAGAATAGATCCGTGTTCGATTTGAGGCTACGAATGTGAGTTGATTACTGTGATAACTGTTCCTTTTCGTTCCAGAAATCGATCAAGGCTTGGGTTTCGGTCAACTTTTATCTGAACCATGAAGTAAACTAGAAACCCAGCAGAGGTAATAAAATAATTTGGCTGGCACCTCACTAAACTGTGCGACACCGCATTTAAAATGGAACTTTACAAGCATATAGTAGTTCTCCCGATAGAACCGTACCAGAATATTGATAGCTCGGTTGGGTTCGCTAGTAATTGTTTGGGAAGCCGTTTATCTATCCGCCAAGCCCATGAATTAGTTTGCGAATATTTCGTCATGGAGACATAGTCCTCTGCAGCTGGGGGGTACTTCCTCATTATTTACTCGCGTTTGCGTGGTTATCAAAGAACATCTGATACATATTTAGCTTTGGTTTGCTAACTGGAACATGCCTTTCTCAGAATCCCTCTGATCTACTCCGATTTGTGTTGCGCTATGGTGTGTATTCCACGCATTTGGTCGATGCGATAAAATCCTTCGGCCAGAGGATTTTGTATTTTATTTCTCTTTTGAGTAGTTGATCACGGATTTTTGCTACATTGTATTTAACCTTTCCTAACTTAATTATTTTGCACGGCGACTTCTAATTCCAACAGTTTAACTCTCTTTCTATCGGCTTGTTCTTAGACTCCATTGCTTTGTGGAAGAATGTGTTTAACTGGTTGCTTACTTTAAACGGTAGTTCTTATACTGGGAGAGGTTATTCAGGTAACACGCTGTGTTAAGAGGTTCCTCATTATTTATTCAGTTCAGGTCTTCGACATCTTGGTTGCATATGCGTTCCAGCAAAACTGGTGGGGTCCGATTGCCCTTTGTGATGTGTCATGTCTGTTTTTGTGCAGCTTTTGACCTTGTGCTCTTGGATTTTATCTCTTAGTCTTAGAAATACCGGGTCAATTTTGATACTTTTTAATGATTGTTTCAATAGAGTGCCATGCCTTCAAAAATTAACGTTTAACCTTCCGTTTACGTTTGAGTTAGTATGCGGACTTTGCACAAGCCGAAATATTGTCCTGCCTGGTCTTCGTGCATGGAGATGAGTGACAACTGGCCGAGTCCTTTGTCAGTAGGGTCGCGTTCATGTAGCCTGGTAGAATACTATTTTGTCTCTGCACTACATAATCCTCGTCACAATCTCAGCACTGAATCCTGTGTACGACGCTGGTCCTTGTCATAGTATCCAAGGTTTTTTCGGTTTTGACAACGCTGTTCAAGTTATGTCTCCCAGCTACCAGGCTTCTCGCCCTAAAATTGTGGTGCCGTAGCAGTCTAGCAGTCTGTCACAAAATAACTTTTATGCAGAAAAAGGTGATACACTTTCCTTCACTCTGGAGTGCTGAGTTGATTGAGTAAGTATTTCGAAGGCTTTTGCAGATGAAATTTCCCGGATATCCATTTTTGGAGAATTTTGTGCCGGAGTTTCTCTTTCTTGATCTTGGCCTCCGATGTTTTTCGGAGCGTTTCTGTCCGCTAGGACAGCGCCCGGATGCAGTTTGCACGATTGCTGTTTTAGCTAGCANTATTATATTATATTATATTATATTATATTATATTATATTATATTATATTATATTATATTATATTATATTATATTATATTATATTATATTATATTATATTATATTATATTATATTATATTATATTATATTATATTATATTATATTATATTATATTATATTATATTATATTATATTATATTATATTATATTATATTATATTATATTATATTATATTATATTATATTATATTATATTATATTATATTATATTATATTATATTATATTATAGTTTGTGTCAGACATATATTGCAATAACTCAAAAGAATAAGGAGGAAGTAACCACCCAACCGCGTACTGAAGATGACACAGAATATGCCAGCTCATTGCCGAGCTCGGTGAGCAAATCGCCAGCCACGAAGTCAACTACCAGTTCACTTGATAAACTATCCATTCACAAAATTGAATATTCAGAGTTAATCCCCTGAACTCAGTGTTTGTGTTTCATTTCGAAACAGTATTTAACAAGTTTGACATTTGGTTTGAATGAATCTTTGGTTCATTTTCTTGTGACTTTTGTGTCCTTCAGACTTGACCATAGTGACCATTCAATGAGCAATTTGCTCATCGTGGAGTGTTTTGGTGGTTTGCAGGCTGACCTATCACATAGAAATGCTTCAAACTCAACGAAATTACTACCCTACTCAGTGACGTCGAGTAATATCCGTTGGACACAAAAGGAACTCGACCGTGGTCAGCATATTAGAACGTTCTGGTAGGTTCAGAAGAATACAAAAGGTTTAGGGTCAGTGGTCACACTACCCATTTGTTGCCGTGGTATTAAGCGCATTACGAATGATATCTGCGTATTAGATTAAAACCATATTACTTGGTGCGCGATATTCGCTTTAATAACCTTATCTGAGTTAAATACTTTTTTATGTTCCGATATGGGAGTGGCTGTTACTTACCTGTTCCAAATGTGTCAGTGCTTGTGGAATTTGATCAACGTCAGCCAGACATTGCGCTTGCATCCAGTGGATCTGACAAAGCAGCTGATAATGTAAACTAAAGAACGAGAAAGCAATGGAGGTTTCAATTGATACTCCTAAAAAATTCCAGTCTGAGGCCGTATGGCGATAGCGGTCAAGTAGATAATAGAGCAGTGCCAACCCTATTCTGTTTACTTATTACAACGGGGACTGGGAAGCAAAAGGTCTACCTTTTCAGGAGCGTAGAATCAAAAGTGCGTATGCTTGAAGGAGATGCAAACTGGGCTTGTTCTAGGCTGTTTTTTGGTTGGATTTATAGCCTTATTTGTTTGTTTGTTTATTTGTTTGTTTGTTTATTTAAAGACCAGTGAATACTCATCAGAAGCTCAATATTACTGTTTTAGTCTTGCCATCTGGTCAGTTTTGTACGTTAGTTGGACATCATATTGTACGAATGCTGAATAAACCACTTTATCTACGTAAAAATCGAACAAAGCTTCAATGGGCATATCGTTTATGAGTTTTTCCGAACCATTATGCGGCGCGGTCAGCCTGACCGTTATTGAAGATATCAGCCCGAACAGGATGAGTTGGCAGCAAGATTCCTCATTAATCCTAAGTATACTCTAAACCGTAATGAACAAGCAACGTTCTTCCGTAAAATAAACAACGTATCTCACTGAATTGAAACAGTAATCTCACCTTCCAGTTTGATCTAATGCCTTCAGAATCAGATTCAGACTGTCCCGCAGCTGTTTTTCTTGTCTGGTGGGACGTTGAAATAGTGGCATGCATATTTCCCACAGAATAACGCAACCTGTATATACATTTGGTCCATCCAAACCATTTTCCAGACCATTCTTGAGGAGCTGATGGCCACTGACGAGATACTGTTTATGTACCTATAGCGCGGAAAATGTGATAATATCAGACTGGATTCACCAAAGTAATATGACATCTTCTTCTCACTTTTGAATTAGGCTTTTTTTTGCAAAACGAGACGTGTGAAAGAATGTTTGGACCTTCGTTTTTCGCTATTCCAGATTCTAAATTTCGGTATTCAGTGATGAAAGTGAACTCCATATCGAAACGGGGCCTCATATATTTGTGGAATATAAAACAAATGGCCCAAACAGACGTACTGAAATCAAACGCACATTTTGCAATTTATTTAATGCTCTTGCAAGGACTTCCCTCTACGAATCAAAGGTCCAACGCAAGTACTGTCACCAGCAGAAGGAATTTAATCAAGAAAGTAATCCCTTTCCTGAATTTTTGCACTAAATTTCCCAGGTCCTCTCAAATAAGCAACCTCACAGCTTCTTGTTACTTTCGAGAAAAGTGGATGTTTGGGTTACGCTGTTTCATGGTCGTTTCTCTTCCCAGGCTCTACATTTGGATTGCAAAACTTTTGTGTCCAAAAAGTGGTGGCGTGAGTAAGCATCTCCCTGTCTGTCTTTGTGGTCCTTTTGCGGTTGCGTCAGGTCACACAGAACTCACACCTTCGCATCAAAAAGACCACAAAGTCTACCTTTTTTTTCAAGTTCATGACGGTGTCACACGAGTAGGGTAGTTCAGCAAGCAAATCGTTTGCTGTTGAAAAGGTGATAATAATAAGCAAGCCTAACTAAGTGTGGTTTTGGCAGATCCTGGAGGGCGAAACTGGAAAGCGTGGGTGGGTGATTCGAAAGCGATTCGTCATTCACTTACAGTGAACTGCATCTAGTTGACATTTTGTTTCGTTAAGCAAGATGTTAGTCTAGATGTCATACTTACGTCATCTAGCTAGAGAGAATCGGACTACTACTCGAGACAGTAGCAACATATATCACTTTACCACAAAAAATCAATAAGTATTAGCTTTTGAGTGCTAATGAAATTTTCGTCTGTTGTTGCTGCACTCGTTTGACCAAGAGAAGCTTATTGCTGTTATGTCTCTGATAGCCAAAACTGATGTGAAAGAATGACTCATTCACGGACCTTGTACGCCAGTGGCAATCCTCGATTAGACTTTTAGTGCCACTTTGCATCGCACCAGTATTTTGTACAGATCCTCAATTTTGAAAGTCCGTGAAAATTTCTGTGTGCTGTTTTGGTGAAATTCCGAAGGTTTCCGATAGAAATCCTACAATAAGTCGAAGTTTAGTCACGATATCTTGAGTAGTGTGGGAAACTCGGAGTTCCAGTTCAGAGTTAGGAAATCCTGTCACATTTGGTCACATTTGGATTTCCACTGAAATCTTTTTAAGAGTTCTGTCAATTCATATCGATGATACGACTGAGGTAGCTTATCGAGTATTCCGGGACATTCCAAAATGACAATAAGCTGCAATCTGCAAGAGCAATCATTTTGCCTGCCCACCACCTTCAAATTCTGAACAAAACCAGAACGCCACCGAACCTTGTTGAAAATTCTGGCTTTTGGCTTTTGGTTGCCAAGGGAAAGACTGAAGCATGCCGAGGATTATAAAAAAATTAGCTTGTGATTTTTCATAGTAGTGAACTTTTTTGCGCAACTGTCACTTTGGTGTTCACAAGCCGTATCGGTCAAGCGAACTTGTCCACGGAACTAACAATTGTCTGTTGTGTACGGCACTTCTAAAAGATAGATACTAGTTAGATACTAGTTAGTTCCTGGAACTTATTTTTTGTGGGTTTGCAGAATTTGTCTTGTGTGGTGAAACGGTTATTCCCCTAAGCAGCTCCTTCAGAAAACAATGATGCGTAGGAATTTACATCTCATGGGATGTTGTAGCTTCACCTTTTACAATTTTCCCGCTCAGGTATTGCACACAAAATACAAGGCTGACAACAACGTGCCTGGAAGGCTAAAAAATTTGAGAACCACCATACTTATCCACAGGCTCCGGAGTTTTGTAAACTAAATGGCATTCATTATTTATGTGCCTGAATCGTGGTCCCCTGTAAGCATCCTTGTAGGTTGTCTTCCGTGATGCCTATTGTGGGGATACCTACTGTATACCTATTGGATACCTATTGTGGTGTAGGATCCAGACGGATTTCATTATTAGGATTGTTGAAAAAAGCAGCAACCCCTGGTTCGTTTACATTTGGGCTTACCTCAAGCAAACTGTCACGACTGTGCTCCAAACAGCAAGTGTCTCGTAGGAGTCCGAGACGAAGCGTCAAGAGATCGAATGCGAATTTAGCTGTCGTTTTCTCCTGAAGGTTGATAAAGCGACGAATTTTAATCAGTGGTTTGTTGAACCTAGACAGAGATATTATTCAAATTTTGTTCAACAAGATTAATAAAAAAGATGACCGTTCTACCCCAGCAATTCAGAAATAGTGGATGGAGATTTGCACTAATTATTCATCGTTGAGGTTTAGGTATATCTCCTTTATGCGCAGCCATATTGGACGTCATTTTCTGCACAAATTAATGTCCTGTCTTGTTACCTAGTGGCATATCCAAACCAAGCAGAAATTTGCCATGTTCATCTGGGTTTACTTGGTTTGTTTGTGGATGCGGGCGTCCAAGTCTCAAGGCAATAAACAATTCTTCTTTGGCCATATTTTCTGATAAACCCCACGCCGGTAATGTCGGCCGCGTTGCGCCATTTGACCAACAATATAATAACAGTGATATATTTCACCAGCTAGGAGTTTTCTGTCCCACTCACTCTGAAATTATCACACTTAGTAAGGTGTTTGTCCAAAACGTTTATCTATCTGGAGAGCTTCGTCTCCTGTAAAATGGTGTGCAAAAAACTACATTCTTTGTTAATTTTGATAGTCTTTTCCAAGTGAGAGTACGCAGTACCTACAGTCACTGAACTAAGTGAGATAGAAAACCATAGTGCTACAGCATTCACAACTCCCCTTTGAAAGAATGGTCTAACCATTTGGGGACGTTTGGTCAGGCGCATATCTTTCAAGTGACAACCAGGCCAAATTCAGAAGGGGATCAACATCCGGAGCTTCCTCCACAAAATCAACTTTCGCATACTATGACTCACGTTAAGCAATTAAGGAATGTGTTCATTTATCAAGCATTGTCCCAGCGAGTCAGTGCCCGAAACCTGTCTGCTAAGCCAATGAACCAGCCTTGAAACGATAGTAAATGTTGCAGCTCATAGATGACATTTGGCCTTGTTAGGTATTTTGGTGCATGAATTCGGCCCACTACAATATCACTCCCTTTGCTAACATCTTGCTGTCCAAAAAATCAAAAGCACAATTGTATTGAAGAAACTCACGGAAATCTCCTGTGTTGTGAGTATCTGCTTACACTTCGCCAAACAGTATTCGCATACGCTAGTTGATTGCCAGTTCAGAGCCAAGTGTCCTACATCGATGAGCAACGAAAACCTGGAAGAAACCGAGCAACAATGACCAGGTTGGCGACAATTTTGGGGATAAAGTTCAGTTGTGTAAAACAGCAACACCTTTATTCACATGTTCCACGTCTGCTCAATGCATAAAAACGGTGCTTCAAAGGAACGACGGATGACTCAGGAAGTTTAACACATTCTAACCGTTTTCCTGCAGAAAAAGCTGACGCAGTCTTTTTTCGTAGACCTGCGAACTACTGGCGCTTACATAGTAGCTTGTAAGATTAGTTGATTTGGTTCATGTTTAAATCCTCCAGTGCTCCATTCAATTGAACTTCCAGCTATGTCCCTTTGATTCTCACCGCTCTAGTTTTATTAGTGGCGAAATTTTGCCAAGCCTTTAAACCTCAATAGAACTGACCCTTTTTGCGATCCACTGTGAGTGAACGACATTGACTAATTATTGTCCTGGAAGGCTCGACTTTAACATTAATGAAGACGAGGTTTTATATTCGCATCTTAGTTGCAGCGTATCACCAGTACCTGTTCCCACAAAAACGCGATGCATCCAGTAGTTTTGATCTCACAAAATTTATCGAAATCCCGCAAGACTCTTATCTGGTACAACATTTCAACTCAGATGCCACAAGGAAATCCCGACTGGTCTTTTATAGCAAATTTCGCGGGAAAGTTTACATTATTGAGAAGAAGAAGAGGTCGGAAGCAACAGTAGCGTCTTCTGGCCGGTGACTCTTAATAGTACTTTTCAAACCAAATCACGAAGAAGAACCGCAATCGTTTCCAAGTATAGCTGGGACCGTGAAGTTTTACAGAACTCACCTGACGTCCGTCCTCATAGGCTGGAAGCTACACAGTTCCATATCAATTTCTACGTGACCTTCTTTTTTGGATGAATCAAGATGCTGTTCTGTTTCTTCACATGAGTTTCCCTCTGAGGAATGTTCGGCAGGATTTAGTGCAGCAGCGAGGTTCATCAACTCTTCTGTTTTCTTCTCAACCGGTCTGTTTCTGGGATGTGAAAAACGCTTGTTAGTAGTAAATGGTAGTGAAGATTGGTCATCAGTTTTGACATCAAAAATTTTTCATCTTCCTGGTTATGAGCTTCGTTAGGACAGATACTAGCCGGTTGAGTAGCAATTTGTCTGTATGGTTGTTTCAGAAAAGTGAGCGCAGCGTTTTGATATGTGTTGAGGTTGTAAGCTAAGAATCTGGATGTTAAACTTCTTATTCGCTAAAAAATAATCTCGTGTGGAAATGTTTCTTTTCAAGTGTTTGCAGATTCAAAATTTAGAAAACTTTATATTCTGTGTGAACCAGGCCGTCGAAGTTGAAAAGCGATGGTCAGTCGTTTTGAAATTCACTACCTCCTTGGCTCACTTTCTTTGGTTCTGCTTGAAAAGAGCTAAGTTTGTTTGAAACGGGAATGAGCCAGCAAAATTACTAACACTCTGCTTAGGTGGTGCACAAAGAACTGAATCATGCTCTAATATTTTGGGTTCACACTCACCCAGAAAGCCGGGGGCGATTAAACTAAACCTGAAGAATGTTTTAAAAGGTCTTACTCAGTTTAGTAGACTTTAAACTTGGGAATCCCCGAGGCTGAATACCATACAGGGTATTCAGCTGTGATGTGAACTTTGGCAAATGTTAGTCAGACATTCTGAAAGAGCCAAAATCAAACGCTCTTGTGTTTACTCAGGGTAATTTTGATGTTCATTCTTTTTGTTGTTGGATTCTTTCCCGCTGTAGAGCAAATCTATACATCCTGAATATTCAAGGATTATGAACCAGCTACTTCATTTTAGACTTTATATAGAATCCTCAATAGGGTAGTCGACATGAAGTGCTTCAAAGTGTTGACTCCTCGATTATGGGTGACTACGGTGACATCCGGCCCAAAAATAATGCTGACAAAAGGTTTCCGAAAGGCAGGACTGGCTGTGGTCGTGGAGCTTGTGCTCACCATTAGAATTTGGTACACATTACATTTCCAGTTTCATTCAGATTGGAGCCCATCCCATATGCGCAGTCAGTAAAGGCTGAGTTGAATCGGCTTTTGTTATTGTTTTTAGTCGCATGAGAGCTTATAGAGTTTGAAGATCTTTACAACTCTTCTTTGCAAACTCGGTACGAATCGATAAAAACAGGATTCCAGAGAAATGCATATTGTGAGCAAGTTTTGCAAGACAGTGCCAATCAGGTGTACAATATGAGTTTAGTATGTATGTTGTCGGTAAAGGAGTATAGACACGGTCGCATTCATCATATGCCTACAGGGGCTACATTTGAATAACCCTGATGCTTTTCCATTATGTCTGGATTGAACTCTTATAATGGCCTTACAGGAATCTTAGATCTTCCGATGAAACTTCATGGACGAGTCGGTAGACACTTGAGATGTTTTGAATGGCAAGGGCCGATTCTGTCTGCATGCCAAGCGAAAGGCATTCTTTGAGCAGTTTAACGTCTGGAGTTATCTCTGAATCTGTACTGTAGGACTGAAAAACTCTTGCCAGTTTATTTTCAATTTTTTTTCGAGACATATTGTGAAAAAAAATGGTGTAAAGGGTGGCAGAATTCAACCTACCAACTCCATGGTGGCAATTTTTGTGTCTAAAGAAACCAAAGAAACATGGACGCAAATACATGAATGCAGCATTTCAATTGAGTGAAAGATATACAGACGATAACCACAACAAAAGCACAAAATATGTAGAATCTTACCAAATTTAAAATAAATAATTCCATGTAGTTTCCCGACAGTGCATAGCACTTTCATCATCATCATCTCATCATCATCATCATCATCATCATCATCGACAGCATGACATCAGTGTTCAACACCGAATAGCACTTTAGCTTACAGAAAGAGTTAACGACTGTACGACAACTCATTCGCACATAACAACTAATGTTTGTTCCCTGAGTATCTGATGAATAGGACCTTGTTTTGTGCAACGAATTATTCTGTCAACTCCTTAAAGGAGCGGTTCTACCAAATCCGACGGAATACATTTATCCAAAGCGGAAAATCTGTTAGGAAGTATGTGAGAACAAACTAGCGACAAATATAGGTCTTGACTCATCTCTTGATGGAAGTTTTATTCAATTTTCCAACTAATTGTGGGCACTTATCACAGAAAATAGTGACTTGCGCTTGTTAACCTCAAGGAAACGCTTTGATCGCTGATTGAGTAGCTATTCGATCGATAGTTAAATAAAAATGAGGTCCCCAGTTAATAATGTGATTGTCCGTGCTTGTCTTGGAAGAGGCCATGAAGTTAAAAGTTTTCAAAAGTTGCTTTTACTAATTATTATATGAATGTCGATAGGTCCACTAGAAAACTTACGATTTCCTCAGCACTGCAAGTTTCATTCTGCACCATACTTCGGATTGTTGCAATTCCAAATTCTGTTGCCTTCCATTTTTCCGGTTTTCTTCAGTTACTTCTAGATTGGCATTGTCACCTGACATAGCTTCTGCACGATCCACTCCCAGATCCCGAGATTCGCAAGTATTAAGCAGAAAAGCGACTAATGGGTTAGAAATCTCCATCCTGGCTTCAAATCCCCGGAGCAAAAGTGGAATCATTTCTTCCAGACTTGAAACAGTTTGGCACTTATGCAACGCCGTGTCAAATATCCCAGCGGCCTTCCCTTTTTGACCACTCTTCCGATAGATCTCAAAAAGGAGGCTGTATTTCAAATGAAACGTTAAATAATGTTCATGGGGAAGAACTCGGTTTTTCTGCCCTGGCACATTAATTGAAAATGGTGGACACATTTCGGTTGTACTTAAAAATAATTGACTCATGTTCAAAAGCATATCTACGGTACTTTTCCACATCTGAAGCGCCTGGTGCGGCATGGGCGAAAATTGTCTGACGACCGCTTTCTGTATCAGTGAAAGTCCGGCTGAATTTTGACGAAAGCTGATTTCATAAGGCACCCGTATGAGAGAAGAATATATTGACCATATATCCTTAAGGCCGTATATGTAAAAAGGGCACTCTCAACTCAAGTGGGGTAACTTTTTTGGAAACGTTTGATTCCGATCTTCGTCGTCTAGGTGGTCAGTTAGTAGCATGCACTGACACTGGTGAACTTGATTTTGAATTTCTGAATTTCTCTGCCGTCCACAACATACGCCACTGAAAACAACATTGGATATCCCTGCAGAAATCCGTCGTGCTTAGACCAACAAGATTTGAAACATTTTCAATCTGAGAATAACCAAACTAAAGTAAGCAAATGGGGCCTTGTCGGTAGATTACTGGTGAAGTCCGAAATAATAGCAAAATGAAAACACCCACTTATTATGGCTTGTTGCTGAGTCTGTACAGTTTTCATGCAAGTCGCATCAAGCAGCTTAAAAAGAATATTTCATGTAGCCAAACTAATATGACTGCTGAACAATCGTCCAAATGTAGGTTCAATTAGTCATTGATCCATATAGGTTTGGAATTTAACCAGCTTTTATAAGCGATTTGGCCCGACTCTAAAAAGCTCGATGATAAATTCCTGCCGTTCCTGGTGAACCGATCATGAGAGTAGAGCGACTCTATATTTGACGTGCCTTTGGCAGCAACAGGCTAGTAAACTGAAGATCAGATATCCACAGAAAGAAATTACTCGATTATTTCGCTCCGGTCAAGAGATTGGGTTCTTGGATTACTTGCAATAAAAATAAGGCATGACTGATGATTGTGCGAATAAGGTCCGTTTACTTGCCATGCCTTTGTTCATTTCGTTCGTTTCTAGTTGGACCTGACGTATCTTAATAATCGGTAGCAATGTCAGCTATAGGCTAGCCTGAGTTTCAAAATCACTGTTCCACTGGTGTTTCGCCGTCTATCTTCAGTGCTTAGAATTAGAAAAAACTCTGTGCACTTATTTCTGAAAATCAAAATGCCGGTTTCATTAGAACGGTTTAGCTACTTCCTAACGATCAGCCTTTTTGTCTTACTAATCACTGATTTTCACGGATGTTTTGCTCATTAACAAGAAAGGGATCGCGATCCAATCAAACATATTGTACGGATCCGACAATGTCGCTCACACCGTATTTCAAGGGGATATTGGTGATGATC